ATAAATGAAAAAAGCATTTATTAAGCATACAAAGGGGCAGCTAGGTGGCAGCAGATAGAGTTCCAGGCTCATCTTCCTGACTTCAAATCTGTCCTCAGACACTTACTAGCTGTGTGACCCTGGGCAAGTCACTTAACCCTATTAGCCTCAGCTCCCCATCTGTAAAATGGAGTGGAGAAGGTAATGGCAAACCACCCCAGTATCTTTGCAAGGAAAGCCCAAATGGGATCATGACATGACTAAAATGTTTGAACAAGCACCCAAAAAAAGTGAGCCAGCCTCAGCTCTCAGGGGACTCTTATTCTAATTGGGAGAGGTAACACACAAAAGAAGGCTGAACTACAGCGCAGATGGCAACGCTCAGGAGTCGTCAGGGTGCAGCTGCGGGGCAGATAGTAAGGTCCGGCAAGGGTTTTAGGTTTCATTTTCAGTTCAGACAATGCTGAGGATCCAGTGGGTGCAGAGGCAGGGCTGGTGGTAAGTAAGGCCTTAGGAGGCGGTGGCTGAGAAGATAGCAAAGCTTGGTTATTCTCCATCTCACCCACTTTATCCACCCCATCCACACGAATGGCTCAGATGGGTTCTGGGCACCCCAGGGAGGGGACAGGGTGAAGGGAACAGAAAGGAGAAGGGTGTCCCCAGTGGCGTTGGGTCTAGGAGGCTTGCCACTGCCCAAACGCTCCAGATGGATTCTGGGCAATTCCAATTCCAATTTAGGAATGAGGAAATTGAGGCTCAGTGAAGTTAGGCAATTTGCCAATGGAATAAAAAGCAGGATTTGAACTCAGTTTTCTCCTGACTCTAAGTCCATTGCTCCTTCTTCTACATTAACAGCCAAGCCTCCTGTGCCTCTTCCCCACCCCTATAACGATGATAATGATCATCATCATCACAGCTAACATTTTATGTGCCAAGCACTGTACTAAGCACCCTGGGAGGAGGATGCTATTATTATCCCTTTTTTGGAGATGAGGAAACTGAGGCAGACAGAGGTTAAGTGACTTGCCCAGGGTCACATGAGCAGTAACTGTCTGAGGTCACATTTGAACTCAGACCTCCCAGACTCCAGGCCAGGTGCTCTATTCAGTGTATTACCTAGCGACCTTGAAAGAGTTTCATCCATGCTGGGGCTTCAAGGGGAGGTTATACCTATCAACCAAGCAGCATTTATTTATTAAGTGCCTACTATGTGGCTGCACAGTGTGCAGCCCAGTTCCCAGGCTTCAGGAACATCACTTCAGACGCTACACGGAAGAAGGCTTGGAAAAGGGGCAAGCCTGAAGCAGGGAGATCAATTTGGGGGTGAGTAAACAGAGCAGAGGAGGGGTGAGGAGGGCCTAAACATGAGCGTAGCCCAGAGAGCAGAGAGAAGGGAACAGATGCTAGAAAAGCTGTGGAGGCAGAATGGGCAAGATTTTTGTATGAGTGAGGAGTCAAGGTGCCTTCAATGGAAATAAGGGAATTAGGAGGGAGAGTCGGTTTAAGGGGAAAGAATGAGTTCTGTTTCAGATGTGTCAAGTTTGAGAGAGATATCAGGACTGCATAAACAGATGTGGGAGTCATCGGCACAAAGATACCATACAATAAATACTAAAAACATTTATTAAGTACCAACTATGTGCTGGGCATTGTACTAAGCCCTGGGAATACAAATAAAAAATAAGTTAAGGCTCTGATGAGGCACCTCTCACCATTATTATTTTAATTAATCAAAATTAATTTAATTAATTAATTTGTTACCTCTATGACTCAGAACAAAGGCCAGAGATGCAGAGTATGGGCTTTGCCTTGTTCTGCTCCGTACTTCCTAACAACAGCCTTCTCTCACCATCAGCAACCAGAATCTGCTTCCCATCCCGTCTGCTGCCCACCCAGTCCATTTTGCCCCCTCTGCCCTTCCAAATCTTCCTAAAGCAGCTTCTAGATCAGAGCTCCTGAAATCATGCTCACCAGTTCTTAAAGAAGTTGATCAATTCAGCTTTGAAACTCCTGCCCTGAGGCTGACCTAGCTTGATTGATGAGTAAATGTGAACTCGTGTCACCCACAACATCGAGCCAACCTAAGGCTGGACCACGAATCACATCTCATACAGCTGTACATCCCTGCAGTCTATCTTGTTACCTGCCTACCTCCTTTGGCCACAGTAAACAAATCAACACTACCATTGCTTCTGGAGAGGGCACGTCACCCACCCTGTGCTTCCCCAGACCAAAACCCCCTTCCCTGGCCACCATTCCTCTTTTGTAACTGTATTCACTCAATTGATAAGCATTTATTAAGCACCTGTTATGTGCCAGGGACTATGTATGCTAAGGCAAAAGATGGTCCCTGCCCTTGAGAAACTCACACTCTAATGGGAGAGATGATATGCAAACAACTATGTGTAAACTACATACAAGATAAATAGGTAATAATCAACAGAGGGAAGGCACTAGAATTAAGGGGGAATCAAGGAAGGTTTCCTGTAGAAGGTAAGATTTTGCTGCTGCTGTTTGTCTTTCGTTCTCAAAGAGGACCATGACATCAGGGAGGTGATGCCATGACGTGCAAGTGAATTGGATTTAGGTGAGGGAGGGCTGTGCAAAGTCACCAGCCTCACTTTCTCCTCTGGAGCCATCTGGGTCCAGTGGCTAGATATAGATCAGGATGACTGGAGATGGCCCCGGTGCAGTTGGGAACCTTGGCCTTTTCAAGCTAAGGTCTTTAACATGCTTCAGTAGAATTTTATCTGGGACTTGAAGGAAGCCAAGAGGAAGAGATGAGAAGGGCAAGCATTCCTCTTAGTACAATGCTTAATGAATGCTTTTCAGCTCTATCTTCCTTCCCTTCTTTTCCCCCTTTCTTCCTTCCTTCCTCTCTTCTACTCTTCTTTTCCTCAAACCAAATGGCAAAGGAGAACCTAATGATACAGGCCATAAATGGTTTCAACATGGAGCTGTTTTCTCTTTGAGAAACCTCAGGCATTTTCTTCACATGCAATTCCACAAATATTTGACTACTTACCATGTAGGAGGTAGATTCTGTATTGGATATAGGGATTAGTAAAATAGAGTTATTGCCTTCAAAATGTTTACAATCTAATAATCTAACATTGAGGTTTAAGAAAATCTATAAATCTAGACAATATATAAAGTACAATAACTGTAAGAGAGATAAAGTATGGTGACAGTTCAGATATCACACCTCATTAGGAGAAACTGAAAAAGGCTTCAGGAAGAAGGCATTTGGGATGTGCCAGATTTCAACTGATGGAGGCTGCAGATACTGGAGGGGCTGGCAGGCCCAGTGTAGACTGCAATAGGCTGCTTGGAAAGGTGAGTTGGGGCCATACGGTGGAAAAACCTGAATGCCAGAATGAGTTGCTACTGAAACTTTTTTTTTAACAGGACATTAACACAGGTCAGATCTCATACTCAATAAACTCCCCTAGCTCCCTATTACCCTCCAGGATCAAACAATAACGTTTGGCCCCCTCCCACTCTTCCCCAGCTGTAAGACCTAGCCACACTGGCGTACAGGCCATGCACCATATTCCGTCTCCCATGTTTGCACAGCTTGTTCCCCAAGCCTGGAATGTTCACCCTCCTCATTTCTGCCTTTTGCTGCCTTCAAGCTCAAATCTTGCTTTTTGTAAGGGCCCCTTCCCAGTCCAACAGCAATCCCTACCCAGTCCCTTTCCTCAGACACCAATTTCATATACTCTCAATAGTATCAATCATTTACATGTCGCCGACCCCATTAGAATGGGAGCTCTCAGATGGTAAGGGCAGTCCCTTTGCCTTTTTTCATATCCCCAGCCTGGCACATACTGATGACTTAATAAAAAATTTCTGACTAACTGCTTTGGGTCATTTTATAAGTAGGAAAATGTCCGGACGGAACCAAACAAATACCGTACCCTTCTAACAATCACTCTTTAAGTAGGTAAGGAATGAAATGGAGAGAAGGAGGAAAGAAGGAAGGCAGAAGATAGGATGGGGGAGAGAGCTGGTGGAGGGGGAAGAGAAGATGGAGGGAGAGGCATGCTGGGGATGAGGAAAGGGGAAAGAAGGAGGAAGAAGGGGGAGGAGGAGAAAAAGGGAGAGAGGAGGGGATGGAGAAGAGAGGGAGGATGAGCAGGGAGAGGAAAGGGTGAGGAAGAGGGGGAAGAGGAAAGAGGGGATGGAAAAGGAAAAGGGAGAAAGGAAGAGAGAACTTGGGGAAGGGGAGAGGGGAAGGGGGGAGAGGGAAAGAGGAAGAAGGGAGAGGAGGAGGGAAATGGAAGAGGGAGAAGGGAACAGAGGAGGGAGACTGAAGAGGAAAAAGAAGGAGGAAAGGGGAGATGGAAGAGGGAGAGGGGAGAAGGAGGAGGGAGATGGGGGGAGGAGGAAGAGGGAGGGGGAGAGGAGGGGGAGGCGGAAGAAGGGGAGCGCTGGGGAAGTGGAAGAAGGGAAGGGAGCAGGGCAAAGGGAGAAGTTCCCGTAGTCCCCATAGACGGCGGTCTCCCGAAGCACAAGAGGCTCCCCGACCAGGGAAGGGGCCCAGCACTGCCCAGGAGGCGCCCAGACCGTCGGCCCAGGCCCGGGGATTGTAGGCTGCGAAATGCTCGCAGGCCTCGGTCCGACAGCAGCCAGGGCGCTGCTCCTCCACCCGGGGCAGCTCCAGCTTCTGCTGCTGCAGCCGCCGCCGCTTCCACAGCCCACAGACTCTCACCTCCTTGTCCGCTGCCTTCTCCCCGACTCCCAGGAGCGCGTACAGGTCCATTTGCAACAACTCCTTGGTCACCGCCATGGTGCCGACCCCCAAAACCGGCGTCTTCCTCCGCGAACTACAAATCCCAGGAGCCTAAGCGCGGGCCCTCGCCAGGGAGTCCTCCCGTCCAGCCGACCTTACGTTCGGTTGTTCGGATTGGAGGCGCTTTGCCTCCTGGGAGTTGAAGTTTTTTGGAGCTCATCGAAGGCCGCCTGCTCGAGGAAAAGAACTACTCTTCCCAGCAGGCATCGCTCTAGACCCAGCTGGACCGAGGCTGGTCTATCCAAGGCCTCCTGGGCTATTGAGGGGTGGGGGTACCCGGAGCCGATAATTGTAAGAACTGGGTCGCAGCTCGAGTCTGTCTTGAGGGCCTAAGAAAGTCTGGCTGCGGAGGGGCAGTGTCTTGGAGGGCCGAGGAAGCTGGTTGTCCTGCCCTGGAGATGGAGGGCAGGTGCTATGGTTGCGCGGCCAAGTTCACTCTATTCAGGAAGGAGGCAAGTCTAGTTGTCCCTGGAGCTTGGGGGGCGGCGCGCCCTCCCCCTGTAAAAAGCATCCCGCCTCCTGCACACCCCTTCCCGTCATCCCCTCTTTCCCTCTCCCCCACTGCCCACTATTCCTCCCTGGGCCCCCTCTCCGGATCTCTGAAACTCCCCTTGGCTCCCATCATCAGGCTGCCCTTATCCACCCTCTGCTTTCTGGCCTGACCTTTTGGGTCAACGTGTCCTCATGGCTTTCCATGCCACCAGGACCAAATGGACCCCGCTGCTAAGGAACTCTTGTCTGATATCAGCAAGGATTCCTTGGGTACCCCGGGGTGTGTGGCCCTGGGCATGGTACCTGGCTCGCTTCCTGGACTGTAAGAAGGAAATGCTCTAGTGTGAGAGGAGCCACACCAGACTGGAATGGAAGGATGGCGACATCTCCTTGTACCACCCTTGGCCAGGCTGGTCTTTATCTGTGCCAGGGACAGACCGAAACGGGGCAGAGCTTGTCATCACCAGCTCTCCAGAAGAAGCATAAGAATCTGCCACATCTCTGGTGGCATCGAACTGAGAAAAGGGCAAGAACTATGTGCCGGGAAGGAACTTGGTAGAGGATTTTGTTTCCTCTGGTCCGCTGAGTGTGCACCTGGCTCCATCACCAACTCTGCCGGGGTTTAGACTCCACCTTCCTCCTCCCATCTCCCCCATCTATGGAAGTGATTTCCCACTGTTTCCTTTCTCAGCATATCATGTGTTCTGCATCCCGAGAGATCCCTGCGGGAAAAGTGCCCCAGGAGGACCAGGTGAAGTGTAAGTGTGGGTTTTCTTGCCTCTTGTTTTTTGTGTAGTGTGGTTGTAAGAACTGTGGTCGAGCCTTCTGTTCCAACTGCCTCTCCTTCAGTGCAGCTGTGCCCCGCTTTGGGAACACCCAGCAGAAGGTCTGCAAGACATGCCATGAGGTGCTGAGCAGGTGAGCAATACAAATGATCAAGCGAAACACAAGAGCAGCCTCTGGCAGATCATAAACTAGTGAATGTGAAAGAGGCAAGGGGAGGGAGGGGCAGCGAGGTGGCACAGTGGATAGAGCTCTGGCCTTAGAGTCGGGAGGACATGAGTTCCAATCTGGCTTCAAACACTTGACACTTACTAGCAGTGTGACCCTAGGCAAGTCACTTAACCCCATTATCTAGTCAAAAAAAGAAAGAAAGAAAGAAAGAAAGAGGCAAGAGGAAAGTTCATTAAATATGGTGCTTCTGCAGCTCCCTGTACTTATCTATGTAGGTTTCTAAGTCTGTAATATAAAGATGTACTACAGTGAGGCTCAATATATACTGGAGGAGAGCTATCTAACATGGTGGCAGTGCCCACAGGACAACGTATGACTCTGATCTTTCTCCCTGCAGAGGGCCTTCGGAGGCCAGCGTCTCCAAGTGGTCACCACCTCAGAACTACAAAAAGTGAGTGCTGGATGAGGGTGAGCATAAGGACTGGGAACCCACCTCATGCTGAGCTGTAGAGTCACAGGGATCCCCTATGGAGACTACCATGTGACCCAAATGAGTATAGAAGGTTGGGAAAAGGCCCCTCCTTTCTAGGCTGCCTGGTCCAATATCCTACCCTCTGATACCTGTCATGGTACAGAACTTTCACCAGTTTATTGCCACCCAGTCCTGCTACAGTCTCTAGCTGGGTTAGATCCAGGGGGGACATAAGCCAAGGCTTGCAGCTAGATTCTCCCTTGAGGTGACAGCTTTTCTACCTAGGGCACCCCTTTCCAGTCTAGACATTAGAATTTCCTATTGATAACTAGAGAAGTCCTTTTCTTGCTTACTTCTTCCCCTTACTTTGAGAAACCCAGAATGCAGACTCTTCCCTTCCATCCCTTTGCCTGTACCAGCCTGTACCACTGGTTCCAGTGACCCTTGCTTTTCGACACCCTCCATTCCCTTCCCTGAATAGGCGTGTTGCTGCATTGGAGGCCAAACAGAAGTTCATTGCTCCCCAGGGCATGGTTTGGCCACAGGGACTATCTCAAGAAGACCAAGTCATTGCCAAGCGACTTGAAAAACTCCGCCAGGAAACCAAGCCTAGTGAGTGGGATTAGGGATGGGTCCAGCTGAAAGCTGATACAGTAGAAAGAGTGCTGGATTTGGCGTCATCATCTTCAAAACCCACCTCTTTCACTTACTCTGTATTTGACTTTGAGCAAGGCACTTAACCTCTTGGGGCCTCCATTTCCTCACCTGTAAAATAAGAGGGTTGGCCTAATTAACCTCCAAAGTCCCCTCTAGCTCAAAATCTGTCATGCTGTGAACTCCAAATCATCTCAATGGGAAGGGGAAACCTCAGCATCTAAAAGCCTATGCATAGAGAGCTGGGCACTAAAAATCCTGGAGTAATCCTAGGACCTGACTTGTGGCTTCTCTTTGTGTGCTACAGAGGTGGTAGCTTCCCAGGCGGAGATCGAGGCCAGGCTGGCTGCTCTTCGGGATGAGCCTCGAGGCCCCATCCCTTCCACCAAGGAGATGGAGGATCGACTAGCTGTGCTGCAGGGAAGGGTCCCCCCATCCCAGGCTCCCCGGCCAGTAAGAGCTGTAGCCCACCACATGGGGGCCTTTGGCCTACCCAACTGAACATGGGTTGAAGGATAAGGAGACAGAACAACAGATGTTTGGATAGAGCCCACATTTTGCAAGCTAGGAGAGTCCCTATATTGATTCTTACCACCATGCCCCTATGTTATATTGACTGCCAGGCCAGGTACCTTAATAGGGGGCTGGGGAGAGCCATCCAAGGATTCATGGAACAAGTCCTTCGGTCCCTGGTTGAAGCCACAGAGTTGTTTATCTGTGTCCTAGTGACTCTGTTGCTCCTTATCACCCTGGATGGTGTCTGTTTCTAGACAGGGGCTGTTTTCTCATGCAGTTGGTACCCCATTCCTTGCCTCTGTGGGCTCCATGCCTTCTGGGTATATCTTCCTGACTGGGGTTCTCTCCACTGATTCAGGTCCACCAACCTCCTGACACCAGGACACAGGCCCAACAGACAGAGGACCTTTTGACACAATTAGCAGCTGAGGTGGCAATCGACGAAAGCTGTGATCAAGAAACCTCACCTCCAGGTAATCTCTCCCTATCCCTATGCCCATCTGTTCCCTCAGGGATGATTTACCATCACTTCCTGACAAGAGAAGATGGGACCATCCTAGTCCCCACTCCTCAGCTTCCCCTTCCAACTTTAACACCATCTATGGTTTCTTTCAGGTATTTCTGTGCAAAATGACCTTAACCGGGACAGCCCGAGGGGCTGGAATATTGGCCCTGCTGAACTGGCCCACCAGCAGCTGGAAGGAGAGAAAGGCAGGCTCCTGGCCGAGGCAGCGGCAGAGCTAAGGGAGGAGAACACTCGGGAGGAGAGGATCCTGGCCCTTGCCAAGCGGCTAGCTGTACTTCGGGGCCTGGACCCCGAAGGAGGTAAGGCACAGGGCTGGGAACATTGGGATTTGGCCTGCAGTGAAAGGGGCTGCTCCTGTCTCACCATGCGTGCTATCAAGAATGAGCAAGTCCCACTTTGGAGTCGGCAAAGCTTCCGTGCCCACCGGAGCAGGAGGCACTGAACGACACCTTCCCCCCTAAAGGTAGATACAAGGCTCAGATGAGGCAGGCAAGCAAAAGGGCCCAGCTCTGATCTTCCCTATGTCCCTCACTTCCCCTGGAGCCTAATGTTGAGAGAACTCATCTGAGCAAATGCTCAGGAGAAACATAGCCTCTCTCACTGGTCAGTCCCTAAGGCTGGTCTGATTTAGGCAACCTAACGGGATATACTCCAGGCCATTAGAGAAATGGCCATTCTAGGGCTGGGTCAGTGTCCTCATAACCTTTCCTCCCACCAATATCCCAGACTGCCAGAGTAACATTGTTCAATCACTCTGGCTATGTACCCTTCTCCTCAGCCACCCCCATTCGAACTCCAGTGGCTTCCTGACTTCCAGAATCAAATAGAAAATTCACTAGACCCCTTCTGACCATCTTCCGTGCACTCTAACCACCCGGCCTCCTGGCCATTCCTCACACGTGACACTCCATCTCCCAGTGCTTTACATTCCAGTCACTGTCTGACCACGATGGAAATGCTCCCCTTCCTGACATCCGACCCCTGGCCTCAGTTTTGCCTTCTGTAAGAGGCCTTCCCCGTCTCTCCTGAGGATCACCTCTCCTTTACACTCTCTGCCTCGTCTGTACATAGTTGTCTGTGTGTTGTCTTAGCCATTAGACTGTGAGCTTGAAGGCAGTGACCTTTCTTTGTATCCCAGGATTTAGCACAGTACCCAGCACATAGCGCTTAACAAATGCTTGTTGACTGACTGACTGACTGACTGACCCAAACTGACCAGGCTAGGGAGGCTGATGTTTGCCCAAGAGACATCTTCTCCGTGTTAATTTCCTCCTCCCTTCCCTTTCCTTGCCTTTAGTGACCTTGCAGAATTACCACTTCCCTGACAGCGATGAGGATGAAGAGGAGGCCATCCAGAGAGTCCTCCGACAGGCAAGGCCTTTCTGGCCCGTGCCTCGAGTTCCCTGCCTCACCTGTCTCCTGTCTCTCCTTCACCGGGTCATTCCCCGGCTCCTGCCCAGCCCCTCCCCCCACAATGCACACATGCGGGCTCCCCGGAACTGGGGGTAGTTGCTGTCCAGGCCCTGCCCCTCTAGTTGAAGACCTGCTCCCGTCCAGCCCCAGTTCTGCTTTGTGCTCCCCGACGACAGGGGAAGCAGTGGCCAGAGCGGGGAGGAGGAGGGTGAAGCAGGGTGGGGGTGGCGCAGCAGGGACTGAGTGGCAAAGGTTCCAGGGAGACCAGCTGAGAGAGAAGTGTGGAGAAGAAGCTGCTCCTGGAAACCCTCCTCTCTTCCTGTTTGCAGCTCACAGAGGAGGCTGCCCTAGATGAGGCGAGCAGCTTCAACATCCCTGCAAAGCAGGTGCCTCCACCCCAGGCCCAGCCTCAGGCTAAGGTGAGACGCCTTGGCCACTGGCCCTCAAGTATGGTACAGGAAGCATGGAGTTCTGGATGTGAATTCTGACTCTTCTACTTACAAGCTGTGTGACCTTGAGCAAGTCATTTAACTTCTTTGGGACTCAGTTTCCTTATCTGTCTCTGTCAAATGTAGGGGTTGGTTTAGAAGGCTTCTGAGGTGCCTTCCAGTTCGAAGCCTGTGATCCTATCCATCCTTGTTATTAGAAATTGTCCCCATCCCAAAAGCGTCCTGGGGGGGTAACTCTCTACCTGTTGGCCTTCCCTTTCTCTCCAGGCCCTGGCTGCGGCCCCCAAAGCTGAATCAGAGGTGGTGGAGGAGCTGCCCTGGTGCTGTATCTGCAATGAAGACGCCACTGTACGCTGCTACGGCTGTGATGGTGACCTCTACTGTCCACGCTGCTTCCGGTAGGGAAAGGGGACCCTCTGCTGGGGATGCCAGAGGCATCTGGGAGTGGGGAGGTGGGCAGAGATGGGGGCCCAGGGAGCGGGCACACACACCTTTCCTGGATTAGCGCCACTGACCATTGCACCTTTTGCCTGCAGGGAGGGCCATGATGCCTTTGAACGGAAAGAGCACAGGACGGCTGTCTACCGCGCCCCCTGCATGAGACGAGAGCACTAATCCCGCTGGGGCTTTGCTGGGGTTGGTCCTGCTGGAAAGGCAGCCCTGTAGTTGGTTCCTTAAGATGCTGGGGAAGGGGCCTAGGTTCTGCCTGCATCTCAGAGGATGCTCCTTGTGGGTGCTACTTGGAGGTGGAGCTGGTGCTTGAAGAAGCATGCCTTTGGCTTCCCCAGGAGGAGGCAGGATCCTCTTTCCTAAGACGGTGACTCAGCAAGGGAAGGGCCTGGGTGTCTAGGGAAGGATGCACTCCAAGTCAGAGCCACTGGTCAAGGGGAGGGGCTGTGTAGGGGAAGGAAAACAGAGGTCATCTGAGCATTTTGATTCTTACTGTACTAATATTATCAGTCTTAAAACCTGGCCCAAAAAGTTGTTCTCCCTCCTGGTCCCCTGGAAAACACACAACACCTCATTAGCCTCCAATAAAATGTATTAACTCCCCAAGACTTGTGTCCTCTCTTCCTTATGGCCACAGGAGGCGTGAGTCTGAGGCACCAGGTGGAAGGGGCAGGAGCAGGCCAGGGGCTACTTCTGGATCTGTAGGCCCAGTCAAGGCCTTGGACCTGGGCAGGGATCTGGCTTCTCACCACCAGCTTTGGGCGACCTGACACAACTACTTTGGTTTCCTCAATACCTCTGGTGCTGGGCTTGAGAGTAGGAGGGGTGCCTGAGTCCTGGGGCAAGGCCCATCACGGACCTTAACTCCGTCATCCAGCCAGTCCCCACATTGGATCGTATACAAGATCCATGCACTGTCCGCTTCCTTCAAGAGGCAGCTAGGTGGTGTAGCGGATAAAGCACTAGGCCCGGAGTCAGGAAGACGCAGATTCAAATGCTATCTCAGACACTTACTAGCTGTGCGACCCTGGGCGAGTCATTTAACCCTGTTTGTCTCAGTTTCCTCATCTGTAAGATGGGGATAATAATAGCACCTACTTCCCAAGGTTGTCGTGAAGATCAAGTCTTATAACAATTGTAAAGCTGGGGCAGTGACGGATATAGCCCTGTGCTGTCCATCTGGTGTTTTGCTACAAACAGCCAATGATCTTTCACCCCATTTCCCTCTGGGCTAATAAAACTCCACACTGATATCTTTTCCATAGGCTTTACCCTTCCAGATTCAAAACATGAGTCAGGGGCTTGCCAAAGAGCCCCAGACACAGTGACCCAGGGTCATTTGTCCAGTCACTGAGGAAGCCCAGCCGGTCTGCTAAGATGCTGAAGCTGTCTCTGCACCATATCCCCTAGGGCAGTGTCCAGACATCTCTCATCCTCCACCTCGCTGGCCCATGAGTCCTGAGGGGGCTTCCCGCCCATCTCCACACACAAAGCCACAAGGTCGAGGGGGTGGCTCTGGGAGGCAGGAAGGGTGAGGCCTACAGGGTCCGTAGTAGGCTGAGGTCTAGGGTTGAGGAAGGCGGTATGTAAAGTTTTATTTCTGAGGCCGGCTGAGCCTCCGGAGTTTCTTGAGGTGGCTAAGCAGCTTAGAGATAAAGGGCTGGAAAGGAAAAAGATGATGACATTATTTACACATGACACTTCTAGTCAAAGCCACCCCTGGCTTCTGGCTTCCACCACACCACGGCTCTGTCTCTGGGAGGTGCTGACCACTATTCATACCTCTGGGAGAGACTCTGCTCACCTTCCCCACAACCACCTGCGTACGTGGAACTCAGAGTAAAACTATCCCCAGTAGTCCCTTCTGAGATGACCTTCCATATAATTTCATATATATCTTATACATATCTCATTCTTTACAACTTGTTTCCCACGTTAGAATGTAAGCTTCATGAAGGCAGGGACTGTTTTTGCCTTTATATCTCCAGCCCGACACACAGTAAGTGCCTAATAAATGCTTGTTGGCTGATAGACCAGACACCTGCTCTGGCCTCTTCTCATTCCCTGAGCAAACTGGCCACACTTACCTCTGTAGGATGGACACAATCTTGGAGAATCGCCTAGAAAGAAGAGAGTCAATAATGAGTCACCCAGGGCAGCAGCCCCTTTCCACAAACCTACAGTCTCTGGACCCTCACCTCAACTGAAACTCGTTGCTCATGAAGAAAGAACTAGGAGTCCTTCCTTAACAGGAGCTTACAGCTCTTCCCTAGGGCCATCTCTACCCAGCATCCTGATCACCTCCCTTCACCTGAACTCACTCCAGAAAGGGCAGCCGGAGGATTGTATGCTCCTCCTTCCCTCATGGGTCCCTTGTGACTCCCTCCCACAGACCCCTTCAGCCCCAAGTTCCCTGTCTCCATGTTGGGTAAAATAATCTGGGGTTGAACTGCCTAATCCCACCTGCAGTTTGCTTTTCTGTTCTTCTGTGGAGAGTTCAATGAAGTCTTCTAGGTCAAACTCAGGCACAGAGGACAATCGCTCCTGTAATGGAATCAGACAGGCAGTTTGGCATCAAGAGAAAAGCAATGGTTTTAAAAGTCAGCCAGCTCCCATATTTAGTAGCAGGGAGATTCTGGGTAAGTCACTTAACCCCTCTGAAAAATCTGGACTCAAATGAAATCATGGATATCAAACATTTTACAAACCTTAAATTAATATCTAACTGCCAGTTATTATCATCATCCTCATTATTATTATTAGCCTACAGTGACCAAGCCTCAGGTCTGGGGATGACTTCATTCCCTGAGCCTTCTACCAATGATCTCAAGCAACAGTTTTAGAGCAATTCAGGGATGTGGTGGTAAATGTTTAATAACCAGCTCTCTGAGGCAGAGAAAAATTATATGAGTCATTTTTCAGTCATGTCTGACTCTTCATGACCCCATTTGGAGTTTTCTTGGCAGAGATACTGGAGTAGTTTGCTATTTCCTTCTCCAGGTCATTACAGATGAGGAAACTGAGGCAAACAGATGAAGTGACTTACCCAAGGTCGCACAGCTAGTAAGTGTCTGAGGCCAGATTTGAAGTTGAGAAGATAAGTCTTCCTGACTCCAGACCTGGTGTTCTATCCACTGAACCAGCTAGCTGCCCTACTGTTAAATTTAATCTGCATTATTAACCTTTTCTCCATTACTTTCCTAAGTCTAGACCAGTGGTGTCAAACTGCTATAGGAATGGAGCCACTAATCCATATGATTAGAAAATCACATATTGGCACATGTTGTATTGTGAGCAGCTAGGTGGCACAGTAGATAGAGTGGCAGGTTCCTGCTTCACTATACATTATGCTCATCCTGAAGTCCGTGATCCAACCAAACTGGCCTTTTCTATGCTCCTTATATATGACACCATCTCCTCTCTCCATGCATTTGCACTGACCGCCTGGAATGCACTCCCTTCCAGACCTCCCCTTCATAAGATATAACTCAAATGTAACCTTCTATACAAAGTCATTTTTACAGCACCCCCTCAAACTCCAGTTCCCTTCCTGACAAACTCCTTGTATTTATTTATTTTATATGTTTATTCTGCACATTTTAAAAAGTATTTATTTTTGACTCCAAATTCTCATCCTCCTTCCAGCACTTCCTCTACCCATTGAGAAGGCAAACAACATGGTATTCATTATACATGTGAAGTCATGCAAAACATTTCCATTTTAGCCATCTTTCCGTATATACTTATTTTTGGAGGCAATCAGGGTTAAGTGACTTGTCCAGGATCACACAGCTAGTAAGTGTCTGAGGCTGAAATTGAACTCAGGTCCTCCTGACTCCAGGGCTGGTACACTATCCAACTGCACCACTGCATCTACTTATATAGGTGCACGGTGTCTCTCCCTACCCCAATAGAATGAGAGCAGGGATTGTTTCATTCTTTGCCTTTTTATCTCCAATGCCTAGCACATATTCGTGCTTGAGTGATTATTAGATGGAGCTGAGGAGAAGGTTAGGGTAGGGGCCTCTACTGTGATGGGTGAAATCTGAAATAACTGAGGAAACAAAGGTTCGAGCTGAATTATTGTGAGAAAATGGGGAGAAAGCTCTGTGCATCAGTCTTTGGATCTGACTGGGTTTCTGGTCAGTGTAATCTAGGTCCTTAGTTAAGGGTCTGTAAGCAACAGGTAGACGTGGTCCAGCTTCCCAGCCACAGGGCCGGGTTCAAACAATGCAACAGAGTTTTCTCACAATTCCTATAACTGAACAGAGTTTTCTCACAAGACAGAAATTGGACTAGACCCATAATTGAATAGAAAGGGAACTGAGCTAGATCCGGAATTGAGTCACAAGACGGAATCAGCATGATGATTCACTTAATTCCCACAGTTCCCACACTCCTGTGACCCTTCTGCTCAACTCCTGCATCTCCTCCCCCCAGTTACACTCCTAGACTTGTATCTTTGGCTCTCCAGAAGGAAATCAGAACTAGGTTCAAATTCCATCCCTGACACTCACTACCTGTGTGTCTATGGGTTACACAGGTTATGGCTTCTCTGGGTCTTGATTTCCTCCTCTGTAAAATGAAGTTGTTGGTTGCCCTGATGCCCTTTAAGGTCCCTTTCAACTTTAAATCTAGGGTCTCAAGTTCTTAACCATGTTCACAGCTAGAGGGCACATTCATGTTCTGTTTCAGGTCAACAGAAGCCCTGGCAGCGATGCTGAGTCTCTTCTCTTATGGGACTCTGGTCCAAAATCCAGGGTCACATCTATCTAGATTGTGTTAGGAAGTCCTTGGGGAACTGGGTAGAGCCCAGACATAGAAAGAGGTAGAAGCCCCAGTGCCTTCAAAGATAGGACATCTGATCAGGGTGAGAGAGACCAGTCCTGGGTCCCATAAAATCAGTGAGGTAGGTAAAGTGGGAAATGACTTCCAGGGAGTGAGAATATGGCCTGGGAAAAGTGCACCTATTATATGTGAGGTATTATGTATACAAAGACAAAAAAAAATGGTGCAGGGAGCAAGAACAATGGATTGAAAGTTAGAGGCCCTGGGTTCAAATCCCACATCTCCAGCTTACTACCCCTGTGACTTGTACAAGACCTTGATCTACTCTGGGTCCTTATCTCCTCATCCATAACATAAGAGGGTTGGACAAGACGATCCCCAAGCCCCTTCCAACTCTCAGTTTAGGAACGCACGCTCATGATTCCAAGGAGCTAATCTGGCAGGTGGGGAAGAGGGAATTAAAACACTTATGAGAGTGGAGGGGGGAAGGACCAGGCTACTATAATAGCCCTGACCTCTGTCCATAGTGACCATCTGACTGGGATTTCCCCAGCTACAGTTCTCCTTCCTGCTGAGGACTGGGAGCCATGCCAACCCTTGGCACTTTGGACAGTTGCCATGGTAACCTAGTGTCAGATTCCGGACAGTACTTAGGCGTGGTATTCCAGCATACCTGGGTGTTTTTCTCTTTGTCTGGGGCTCCATAACTTAGAGTTGTTTTTTTTTTCCTCCTGCTTGGTAAAATGCATTCCTTTTAGTAACCATTTTATTTTGCTCCTAGGAGGACTAACTCTTATATGCCTAAGATATGAGAATTTTGATCCAAGAGTATGAGAACTTGAAATGGAAAAATATAGATCTTTAGAGAAGAAGAGAACAGAGACAGAGAGAGAAAGAAAGTGAGAGAGAGAAAGAAGAGGGAGAAAAAGAAAGAAAGGGAGAGAGAAAGAGAGGGAGACAGGGAGAGAGAGAGAGAGAAAGAGAAAGATTGAGAGGAGAGGAGAGAGGAAGGGACAGAGATGGAAGGAGGAGAGGGAGAAAAAGGAAGAAGAGAGAGAGAGAGAGAGAGATGGAGAGAGAGACTCTAAGTCACAAAATAACTGCAACCCTCCTCCCATAACACAATGCCCACTAATACCAATGAAGGTGCTACAATTCAGACACTTACTAGCTTTGTGGCCCTGAGCAAGTCACTTGACTTCTGTTTCAGTTTCCTCATCTGTAAAATGGGGATAATAATAGCACCTACCTCCCAGGGTTGTTGTGAGGATAAAATGAGGTAATACATGTAAAGCACTTCACAAACTACTCTATAAATGTGAGCTAATATTATCATTATTTTGCTTAAGTAATTATGATTAGTTGACATTTAAAAAGAACTAGATAGTTGACATCAAAAAGAACAAACTTCTTATTAGCCTGATATTCAAAACCCTCCACAGTTTGACTCCAAACAGACTCCCCTTCACCTATTCTACCAACCAGCCAGATTAGATTAATAGATACTGCCGAATTTTATCCCATACTCTAGGATCTCCATGCATTCAAGCATTCCCTCATTCCTGAACATCACTCTGTCTACCTCTCTGACAATTCTCATCGTCCAAAGCCCAGCTCAGGTGCTTCCTCTTCCTTTAAGGACTGGTGTGGTGGAAATAGTTATTAATTTGAAGTCAGCAGCTCCAGATTCAAGTCCATCACTGCCACTTCTATCTTCCACTCTGCCAAGAGAGTGATATTTTTCATCTCTTTATCTCCATCCTGGTGTTTAGCGCACCATCAAAGTGCCTGGCTTTTAATTGATGCCATTTGACTAGGAGGTTTCCTTTGCTCTTCTCTTTCCCAAATAACAAGAAGCAACTACACAACCCCCCTTTGAAGTCACTCAACATGTCCCAACTAGAACTCATTATCTTCCCCCACCAAAACCTGCTCCCATTTCCTTAGCAGAGGGGCCATCATCCAGTCACCCAGGTATGACACCATGACTCAGGTATTTGACCTCAGAGCTATCCTTGACTCATTACTCTCTCTCACCATCCCAGAACTAATCAGTGGACAAGTCCTGTCAATTCTGTCTGCTCTTCTCCACTTACAAGACCACTCCCTTCATTTGAGCCCTTGTCACCTCCGTTACAAAAACTGCCTAAACTATCTCCCTGACTCCAGTCTCTTACCCTCTCCGATCCATCCTCCACATAGCTGCCAAAGTGATATTCTTAATATTTTTTTGTGTCTAATTGTGTCATTCCCCAGCACAGGAAGCTCTAATGGTCCCCAGCAGTCTCTAGGATAAAACACAAACTCCTAGTTCTGGCATTTAAAGGCCTTCACAATCTGCCTCCCAACTGTACTTTCTGGACCAATTATAAATCACTCCCTGACTTCCACTCTCCATTTCAACCAAGTTGACCTATTTGCTGCTCTCCATGCCTAACCACCTCCTTTCTCTGTTGTGTCTTTGCATATGCTGTTGCCTATGCACGGCATGCTCTCCCTCCTAACTTCAAGCTTTATTGAGCATCTACCATATGCCAGGCACTGTGCTAAGTGCCTAAGGAGATAAAGAAAGGCAAAAGGAGCTCATAGTCTAATGGGGGACAATATGCAAACAACTACATACAGACGAGCTACACTCAGGATGGACTGGAGATATAATTAACAGAGGGAAGGCTCTAGGGGGATCAAGAAAGGCTTCCTGTAGAAGGAGGGATTGTAGCTAGAATTTGAAGGAAGCTCGGAGGCCGAAATGAAGACAGAGAGAATTCTAGGGATGGGGGACAACCAGTGAAAATGCCCAGAGCATTTGGAACTCAAAATTTTTAAAAATGAACACTAAAAGAAATTTGTTTATGTGTAATTAAGAAAGAAAATAAAATAAAATTTAAATGATAAAAAAAAAACCTCCCAGAGCCAGAAGGTGGAAAGTCCTATGTAAGGAACAGAAAGGAGGCTGGTGTCACTGGACTGAAGAATACTTGGAGGCTGGGATGCAAGGTAGAAGAAGACTGGAAAGGTGGGAGGAGGAGAGGTGGTGAAGGGCTTTGAACACCAAGCAAAGGATTTTCTATCAGATCCTGGAGGTAACAGGGAGCTACTGGAGTTTACTGAATAGGATGTGTGACCTAGTCAAGCCTGCATTTTAGGAAAATCACTTTGGTGGCTGAACGGAGGATGGAATGGAGAGACTTGTTTGTAGCATGCAAGACAACCAGCTGGCTATTACATAGCCCATGGTGAGGTGATAAGAGCCTGCACCAGGGTGGTAGCAGTGTCAGAGGAGAGAAGGGGGCATGTTAAAGAGGAGTCCTGAAGGTAAAATCAATAGTGCTTGGCAACAAATTGGATATAAAGAGAGAGTGAGGGAATGAAGAGTGGCTGAAGACGTATAGGTTTTGAGCTGAGGTAACTGGAAGGATGGAGGCAGCTAGGCGGCTCAGTAGATAGATAGCTGGACCTGGAGTCAGGAAGACTCATCTTTCTAAGTTCAAATCCTGCCTCAGACACTATTGGCTGTGTGACCCTGGGCAAATTACTTCACCCTGTTTGCCTCAGTTTCCTCATCTGTAAAATGATCTGGAGAAGGAAATGGCAAACCTCTCTAGTATCTTTGCCAAGAAAACCCCAAATGGGGTCATGAAGAGTTGGATATGACTGAACAACAACAACAATAACGATGACTTCTTCAACAAATACGGAAGTTAGGGGGAGAGGAGGGTTTCAGGATAGTGATAATGAGTTCACTTTTGGATATGTTGAGTCTTAGCAACATGGAGTTTCAAGATGTCCAGTAGGCAGTTGAAGATGCGAGACTAGAGGTCAACAGAAAGGTTAGGGTTGGATAAGTAGACTTGAGAATCTCCATATAGATGATAATTGAATCCATGGGGGCTAATGAGATTACCACTTGTAGAATCTCTAGTTGCCTAGAAAGCACAGCTCAGGTAGTACCTCCTAAAGAGTGCCTTTCCTGATAATCCTATTAACTAGTGCTCTCCCCTCCCTAGATTTATCTTATATTTGTATTTTGCATTTACTTGGCTGTGTACATATTTTTTCTCTCTTAGTACAATGGAAGCTCCCTGAAGTCAGGGACTGCTTCATTTTAGTCTTCTTCTCCCTAAATGCCTAGCACTGTGCTTGACACGGGCACAAACTATGGGTTCAATAAATGCTTGTTGAGTTGAATTGAATCCCAGTTACTATCTCAGTCAGATTGGAGCTTACAATCTAATTATAAATCATACAGTCATGCTCAGAACAATTGAACCTGAATGTTGTGACATTGTAAAAACCAAACAGTCTCAAGGAAGAAATATGAGAAGACACTTGCCCTAATTCCTTTGAAGAGGTGGGATCCGTGAGTGTAGAACATGTCAGATTTTTCTAAGTGAATTTTTCTTCCTCTTCTTTTAAAAAATTTGTTATGCTGGAAAGACTTACATGAACTGATGCTGAGTAAAGTGAGCAGAAGCAGGAGAACATTGTACACAATAATAGCAAATTGTACTATGATCAACTATGATACTTACTTCTTTGCAATATAACTACCCAAGATAATTCCAAAAGACTCATGATGGAAAATGCTATCCACATCCAGAGAAATAACTGTGGAGTCTGAATGCAGATCAAAGCATGCTATTTTCACCTTTTGTTTTGTTTTGTTTCCCTTTTTCTTTCTCTTGGTTTTTCCCTTTTGTTCTGATTCTTTTCTTACAACACGACTAATGTGGAAATACGTTTAATATGAATGTACATGTATAATGTTTATCAGATTGCTTGCCATCTTGGGGAGGAAGATGGGATGGAGGGAGAAAAAAGCTTGGAACTCAAAATCTTATAAAAGTGAATGCCGAAAACTTTCTTTACACATAATTGGAAAAAAAATGCTATTAAAAATTTGTTATGAAGTATGGCTCTAGGTGTGGAAACACATAGGAAAATGTGGGTGATATATTAAAAAACTATCAATAAAAATCTGTGAAAAATAACATTATAAAAATAACATTTCATTTCATTAAAAATAACAAAATCATTATTCCTCTGGGAGGGAAAAGGTTGGAGCCATGAGTTAAAAGAGGGCAAAGGAATAGAACAGAAGACATAGAGTCCAAGGACACCTATTTGAACCCAGATCTGACTGAGTAAAAAAAGTGACACCTTCCCACGATGAAGATCAAAACATATCTTTGCCCTATCTGGGAAGCAAAGGACCAGGAAGAAGGAATACACGTTTTTTAAGCACTTAGTATGTGCCAGGCACTATGCTAAGCACTTTACAAATAATATCTCATTTGAACATCATGTGAGGTAGCTGCTATTATTATCCCATTTTATAGATGAGGAAACTGAGGCAGGTAGCAGTTCAATGACTCGTCCAAAGTCACATATGTAGTAAGCATCTAAGGCTGAACTAGGGTCTTTCTGATACCAGGCCCAGTGCTCCATCCACCGTGCCACCAACTGTCTCTGAAAAACCAGAGACAGAGCCAGAAACTAGTTGTGAGAAAAAGTCCAGATTAGCAGACTAGCACGAATTCTGATTACCAGCAGCCTCTCCTAGGACCATGTGTGTGAAATTAAATTAAGATCTATACTGCTTCATGCTTTTCAAAGCACTTTGATGTTTACTCATCACAAGCACCCTAACTCCATGGGGTTAGTGACTCTCCACCCCCAGTCCATCCCTAGAATATCAAAACTTGGAAGGTACGTGTTATCTTCCCCATAGATTGTAGGGTACCTGAGGGCAGGAAAAACTTCAGTTTTGCTCCTGACTCCCCAGATCCCCAGTGCCTGGCACAGGGTGTAGCACATAGTAGTCCCTTTTTAAAAACTTATTAATTGATTAACTGATGAATTGATTGATCTGGTTCAAACTCCTAATTTTATAAATGAGGAAAATGAGACTAAGAAGGATAAAATGATTAACCCAAGGTCTCACATCAAGACAGTAGCAGAGTCAGGATTAGAATAAAGGTTTCTAAATAGTCAACATTTTTTTAGCTTTCTATTTTAAAGAGATTTTTATTGATCTCTTTTGTTATCACATCATCTAATTTTCCCTCCTGTACTCCTGGCCGCAGAGTAAACATTAGTAACTATTTGTTGAATTGAATCAAATTACTAAGGCAAGAAATATCCCCATTTTATAGCTGATGAAACTAAGACCCAGAGGGATCTTACCCAAGATCCCACAGCAACTTAGAGGGAGATTGAGATGGTGCAGAGGACAGAGCTCTTGATTTGAAGTCAGTAAGATGAGTTTTAATCCAGCCTCATTTACTAGCTGTGTGACCTTGGATAAGTCACTTGACCTTTCTCTGCCTCAGTTTTCCCATCTCTAAAGTGAAGATACTAATGACACCTACCTCACACAGTTGTTGTGAGGATCAAATGAGAGCAAAGACAGGGTGTCCCAAAAGTCTTAGTGCAGTTTTAAGCTATTAAAATTAAGTTATTGGGGCATCTAGATGGAGCAGTGGATAGAGCATTGGCCTTGGAGTCAGGAGGACCTGAGTTCAAATCTGACCCCAGACACATAATACTTACCAGCTATGTGACCCTGGGCAAGTCACTTAACCCCAATTGCCTCACCAAAAAAAAAAAAAATAGTAATAATAATAATTAAGATAAAAAAATCAAGCTATCAAAATTTTACTAAGACTCTTGGGAGATCTTGTAATACAGTGCTTTTGCAAACTTTAAAGCACTATCTAAATGCTATCTATTATTATTGTTATTGTTATAGCTGTAACTAGAATTCACATTTCTTGACTCCTACTTCTACTCCTACTCCTACTCCTTCCCAGTGCTCTGTCCTTTATACCAAACTGAACTTTTTTCCACTGAGAAGCAGTCCCAATGGATATTTGACAGAAGGAGTCCCATTTTTCACAAGAGAAAGCTTCCACGCCTGCTTGTGTCCCTGTCCCTCCAGCCAGTCACCTAGTCCTTTGTGATCTCCAGCTCCTTTACCTATCTCCGCTCTGTTGCTCCAGCCATCCCCTTTGCTGCCCACCTCTCCCAGGCATCCCCAAATCCCCTCCATCCACACCTGGTACAGCTCCTGAAGCTGGGAATCCACCCACTGTTCTATCTCTTGCCACGTCTGGAGCTGTCCCAGATCATACTTCACTGTCAAACGGCTTAGTCTTCGGGCCTTAGGACCCAGGGCTTTGGAAGAATCCAGCTGGGGCTTTGAGTGCTCCCCTTTGGATGTTCTTTTCTCAGTAACATAAGCCCTCTGGACCTGCTTCCTGTGGTTCTCTGGGTCCCCACTGGGCACTGAGCCACAGGGCGAAGGGCTCGAGGAAAGCATGGGTGTCCAGGTCTGCGCGAGGAATTGGGAATAACTGCTCAGGGAGTGACAGAGATAATATAGTAGTAAAGGAGAACAGGAGGAAGGAAGGTAGGGACAGAGAGACTGCTCTTAGGTGCTGGGAGGGGCCAAGGGACAAAGCTCCCAGAAAGCTCCCAACGCCAGCTTCCTACTCCTGCTCTCCAATTGGTGCTGTTTCAGAGATTAGTTTATTGTGCCAGGATATAAGTGAAAATAATAGCAGAGGGTGCAAAGAGCAAGCAGCCTCAGGCCTCAGGGAGAAGCAAGGTCCCATGTCAACTGCATCTAGAGCCCAGGCAGATAGAAGCAATTTAGCTTCTGGGCTGGGGGCTCTAGACCCCACTGAACGGGGCTGAAGCTGAGCCAAGGGCTAGATAATGGGCCCGGGGCTGAGCCAAGAGCAAAATCAATTCATTTCAACAAACATTTATGATGGTTAAGTAAATTTTATGATTAGGAGTGGCAATGTGATGTGGTGGATAGAGGCCTTGAAGTCAGGAAAATCTGGGTTCAAGTCTTCCTTCTGACCCCTGAGGGCTGTGTGACCCTGGGTAAGTGACTTAACCTCTCAACAAGATTGAGACCATAACAGAGGAGGTGCTGCTATGCCTTGGCAAAGGCAGTTTCTTAACTTTGGCTCACTGGTTGAGGTAGGGGAATTGGAATACTCCTTGCTCCCCATTGCCACTTCCAGGTTCTCCCCCATCTCCCTCACTCAGTAACATCTCCTCCTTTGAGGTTCATGCTCTTCGTATCCACCACCCAATCAAAATCCTGGTAGCTGCTGTCTACAGACCTCCAAGGCATTCCCCTTCCTTTCTCAATGATTTCATTATCTGGCTCACAACTTTTCCCTCCTCATCTCCTGATCTCATCCTAAGCAACTTCAATATACACATTGACTCTCTATCAAACACCCTAACAGCTCAGCTCCTCAACCTATTCACTATGCATAACCTACTCCTCCACCCAATGTCAGCCACATGCAAAGATAGATATAATCTTGATTTTGTCATCACCAATAAGTGTACTACCTCCATGTTCAAGAATTCTAAAACCCCCATAATCTGGTCATGTTCTATTGGCTTTTCACCTGTCTGCCTTCCCTTGCCAAGCCCTACTCTTTGTCCACACTATGACCCCCAATCCTTTGATCCCTCAGTTCTCTCCTCTACGCTAGCTACTTTCTCCTCGTTTCTCCATCTTGACCCCCTGGTGAACTGATTCAACTCTACACTGTCCTCTCTTATCCTATGACCAATTATGTCCAGTCAAACCTGAGCCCTGCATCATTTCCATCATTCTCTGCCTTTGCTCCTAGACCAGTGCTAGATAGTAGTGGTGAAAATCATGAAACCATTCTGTGTTCATTACAAATTTATGGGTTTTTTTTTTTTGTTGTTGTTGTTTGGTCATTTTCAGTCATGTCTGACTCTTCATGACCCCATTTGAGGTTTTCTTGGCAAACTACTGGAATGGTTTGCCATTTCCTTCTCCAGCTCATTTTACAGATGAGAGAACTGAGGCAAACAGGGTTCAGTGACTTGTCCAGGGTCACACAGCTAGTAAGTGTCTGAGGCCAGATTTGAACTCAGGAAGATGAGTCTTTCTGACCTTATCCATTAGGCCACCTTGCTGCCCCCAAATATATGTTATACAACCTCAACTGGGCTCTCACTATTGCTACAGGATTCTTCTATACCTCTGTTATTAACTCATGATCCCATTCTCCACATGGCTCTTCAAAACATTTTTATCCCTTCTCAAATCTCCTATGCTTCCCTCTCCACTCAATGGCCTTCTTTCAATCCTCATTCTCCTTGACTTCTCTGCAGCCTTTGGCACTGTTGATCAGCCTCTTCTTGATATTTTCTTGTCTCTAGGTTTTCAGGAAACAACTCTTTTGTGCTTCTCTTCCTATCTGACCACTCCTTCTCAGACTCCTTTGCTGGATCCTCATCCAGATGATGCTCTCTAACTGTAAGTGTCCCTTTTGTCCTGAGCCTTCTTATCTTCTCCCACTATACCATTTCAATTGGTGATCTCATTAGCACTATGCAGATGATTATCAAATTTACCTATTTTCCCTTATCCTCTCTGGTGACCTCCAATCTCATATCTCCAGCTATCAAACACTTTAAAGTGGATGCCCAGTAGACACCTTAAACTCAACATGTTCAAAATCGAGCTAATTATTTTCCCCCTAAACTCTCTCTCCCAACTTTCCCTATTAAAATAGAAGACATCACCATCCTGCCATCCCGGTGGACTTGGAACCTAAGAGTAATCCTCTTCTCCTTCCTATCTCTCTCCTCCCACATCCAATCTGTTGCCAAGGTCTGTAGATTTCACCTTTGCAATACCTCTTGAATACACCTCCTTCTTCTCTGTTAGCACTGCCCCCCGCTCTGGTACAGGCACTCCTCACTTCACATATGGACTACTTCAATAGGCTGCTGGTGGATCTGCCTACAATTCTCTCCCCACTCCAATGTATCCTCCATTTAGCCACTGAAGCAATTTTCCTGAAGTGCAGGTGCAACCAACTCATCCCTTCTGCTCAGTAAACTCCAGTGGCTTCCTATCACCTCCAGGATCAAATACAAAATCCTCTGCATGCTGTTCAAAGCCCTTCACAACCTATCCCTCTCCTACTTTTCTAGTCTTCTTATACTTTACTGTCAAGTACTCTTTGATCCAGTGACACTGGCCTCCTTGCTGTTCTGCAAACAGAACTAAATGCTCCATTTCTTGGCTCCAGGCATTTTCTTTGGCTGTCCCCCACGCCATTCCATGCTCCCCTTCATCTCCACCTACTGGCCTCCCGGGCTTTCTTTAAGTACCAACTAAATTCCCCTTTCCTACAGGAAGCCTTTCTCACCCCCTCAATTCTAGTGACTTCCCTCTGTTAATTATTTCCTATTTATCCTATATATAGCTTATTTGCACATATTTGTTTATTATAGTCTCCTCCATTAGATTGTAAGCTCCTTGAGGGTAGGGGCTGTCTTTTGTCTCTTTTTGTAAACCCAGTGCTTAGCTCAGTGCCTGGCATATATAGGTACTTAATAAATATTTATGGGTTGATTGATTGACTGGGAATTCACTATCCTATCCTACCCCTATCCTATGATATTATATATTCTACATAATTTATTGAGCATCTACCATGTGCAAGGTGCTGATCTAGGTACCAGGGACACAAGTTGAAAAATTTGACAATTCCATCCCTCAAGGGACTTGCTATCTCACAAGTAAATTTGAAGCCTAGAATATTAAATGTTCCAAGGTCATTTAGCTCAACCCTCTCCTTTCTTTTTTGCATGAATGAGGAGACATAGGCCCAAAAAGGCAAATAGGACTGCAAAATGAGCTAGACATAGTCACTAAGTGTGACTGGAACCTGCCTGCGGGTCCTGGATACTTACTGCTTTTTTGGAAATTGACCTCTGGGATCCGAGTAGGAAAGAAGGAAAAAAGCATTCATTTAGTCCTACGTGCCAGGTGCTTTACAAATAGTGTCTTATTTGATCCTCACCATAACTCTGGGAGGTAGATGAGACTATGATCCCCATTTCATAGCTGAGGAAACCAAGGTTAAGTCACTTGTCCAGAGGCGCCTAGCTAAAAAGTGTCTGAGACCAGATTTGAACTCAGGTCTATGCCAATTCTAGGCCCAGCTCTCTATCTGTTGTACCACCTAACTGCCTAAAGAAACCATTTTACTAGTTGAGTCCCGTACTAAAGGCTAGTCAGAACCAACAGGGCCTCCCACACAAGGCCCTGAGTTCAAGTGGTGTTAAGGATTTAGAGCTAGAAGGATCTTTAAAGATCATCATCTAATCTAATTTACTCATTTTGCATATAAGTAAACTGAGGCCCAGAGAGGGGAGGTAACTTGTCCTATTGAGCCCAAGTCTACTGACTCCCAATCTATTCTCTTTTTACTAGAGTATACTGCCACTGCTCTGTGTACCCTAGAAAAGGGCTAGGGAATTAGGGAGCTCAGGGCTGGTAGATAAGGATTGGAGGTGGCATTTATAACTATCAATAAGTCTTCAGTGGAGTTAAATAACTGGGTATCACCGGGCAGACTCAAGGAATAAATGGAGGGTATCAGTTTCTCTGTGTGGTCTTCTAGCCTTCATTTTTGTGATTTTTGTGTTGAATTCATCTTTACAAAGGATGAGTTCATAGCTGAGTATTTGCATACCTGCTACTCAGAATACAGAACATTGCATTTCATATTTGTGATCTTCAATATTTACCTCCTTCAAACACTCAAGAGTTGCTTTCCAACGTCTTTGAGGCAGACTGGAAAGAGAACAGCCATGGCTTTGGAGTCAAAGGACCTTAATTCAAATCTTGCCTCTGACACTTGCTGAGTGACCTTGGGCAAGTCACAACCTCCTAGACTTCAGTTTCTTCATCAGTAAAATGGGGGGGGGGGTTGGACTGCATTAGTCTAAGGGAGGTAATTTTTAGTTTTGCTCACCTAATGGGGAAGAAGTACCCCAAGTTATATATCCAATGCTTGACTCTTTTCCCCAAATGTTGGTTCCACAATGAACTTACATTGCAAATAGGAAACAGACCCATTTATCCAAGTGAATGGAGCTCAGAAAAAGAATACAGGTGAGAATATACCAGAAAATACAGAGTGAACTCTAGGAAAGAGAAACTCAACCAAAAGAGTCCCAGAGGTCACCCAACGAGGAAATTCCCTGATGTCTCCAACATAGTAGTAAGTTAGGGATAGGGACATGAGGGAGGTTCCAGCTCCTTTCCATGTCGACTTCTTCCTAGAGTCTGTCTTTCCCTCCAGGAACCTGATGAGAGTATGGAACCATGTGTCTTCTCTCAAAGTTGGAAGCCAAAAGACCACAATCTTTCTTCTCTCAAGCTCTCCCAAGCTCTACTGCTCCCACAGACACAAACATTCAGTAATCAAACCCCACCAATGAGGAGAGTGCTATGCAAATGAAATTAAACCAATGGGTTACATTCTATATCATCTCTAAGGTCTTTCTACCAGCTTTAAAATCTAAGATTCTGAGAGACCAGCTAGCTTCATAGG